AAAAAACGTTTATATAAGCTAAACTTCTGAGTGCAGCAAACCCTCAGCACAGTCATTTAGCCAGAGATAAAGTATCACAGGAACGTGCCTACTTCAGCTAGCGATGGGAGTTCTTCCCGCTGAAATGGAAAGAAATATACCGGGCCTTTGTGTAAAACAGAAAATCTAAGCCATTTAATCCAAATGCACCCCAAAATGGAGTTGAAGTACGTTTGTAATACGAATGCAGATGGAAGTGTTCTCCAAGTGTTTCATTGGACAATTTAGCAGATATTGGGTTAGATTGCGGCGCCGAATTACTGTGAAGCGAATATGAAAGTCCCTCTCAGCAGGCCACTTTGTTTAACTCGTTAAAAGCAACAAGATGACGTATTTGATTAGGCTGCCATTTCCCGCTCTGGCTGAGGCTTTGTGCGTATCTGCATGTGTCCCATTACTTGCGTGGCAAATGCAAGCCGCTGACGGCTTGCCATTTTTCACTCTAATCAGAGCTCTACCAGTGCTTGCATCTCATGTCCCTTCTTCTTCTTGTTCTCTTTTTTCCCCTTTTCTTCTCTTCCTCTGTTTTTTTTTCTCTCTCTCTCTCTCCAGAAGGGATTACTACTCATACTCTTATTATCCGTAAGTGGCTTCTTCTCCATTGCACATCATCATTTCTCATGGCTTTTTTGTGCGCTTTTTAGAGAGGGGGCGGCAGCGGAGTGATGATCTTCTCTTTCTCTCTCACCAACTCCCCTAACTCGCCTCATCTCTCTCTCGTTTCCTTCACGTTCCATTTCTCTACCTCCCCTTCTTCTCTCCTCGCCCTCTTCTCTCTGTCTCCTCAGTAGGAAGCCGGTGAACATGAATAAGACCCCCATTACTTACAGGCAGGAGAAGAGTAATATGATGGGCTCCATGGAGCGCAGTTTCACTGACCAGAGCACTCTGCAGGAGGATGAGAGGATGGCCTTGTCATTTATGGACACCCATACGTGCAGCACTCGCAGTAAGATGTGACACGACACAAAACCAGCGCACACAACTCGACTTGAACTTGAGTTTAATTGCAGCCTTAAAGCCTAAATATGCGTGGATTTAATTCTGGGTTGTTCGTTGAACAGAAACTCTATGTAATCTGCTGTATTAATGACGCAAAGCATGAAAAAAACTAATAACCGAGTAGCATGCACTTGTCTTGCTTTGTTTCAACTCATTTATTCCAGTTAAATGAACTTGCACATTGAAACAATGACTACAGAGCTAATACTCCTGACAAATAACGGGGAGTGATAACTTTCTCATCAACAAAAGCATGAAAGCAGTAAACAGTAATCCATATAACTAATCCATGATTCATGCCGCATTGCATGATGGGGACTGAAGTAGGTCTAAAGTTATGAAGGAATGGTTCACCCACGTTTCACGTTTCTGTCATCATTTACTCACCCTCATGTTGTTCCAAACATGTCTGACTTTTTTCCGTGAGACATAAAAGGAGAATTTTTAAAGAGTATCACTTTAAAGAAAAGTGAATGAGGACTGTGGCTGTCAAGCTCCAAAATGACACCAGGAACCGTGAAAGTATGATAAAAGTCTTCTGAAGCCACATGATAGCTTTGTGTGAGAAACAGACAGATATTTAGTCATTGTTCACTGAAAATCTTGACTGTGTGTGTTCATGACTGAGGTAATTATGTCCAGTTCAGAAAAGAATCGGCCTTTTGAGTCAGATCTTTTCAGTGAAACGGTTGATCCTGTTAACAAAACTGATCTAAATGATCCTGTTCTCGGATTCAACTTAATGAATCAGTGGTCCAGTCAGTGGTTAACAGCTTATCAGTGAATAACAACTTAAATTTAGTCTATTTCTCAACAAAAAAAACATAAAGCACCCAAGTAATATATAAGACTTTTATGTTTTTTTTCTTCATATTTTTATGCTGTTTTTCCATTTATTTTAAAATCTAAAATTAGGGATGCACCAGTGTTAATTTCGTTGACAAATAATTTTCGTCATAATGTTCGTCAGCGACATTTTTTTCACTGACGACAACGAGACGATAAAGAACTAAAACTTTTTTTGAATGACAAAAACTATGACGAAAATATATTGACATTTTCGTCAACTAATAAAAACGAGACGAAAATGTTAGGGAGGGACGATTTGGGAAGAGATTCATTCAATTTCAGAACGAATCTGCTACGTGGTTCGGAGGTTAGATGCGTACATTTGAGCCGACGGGACATAAGCTAAAATACATTTGCTGCACGTCGCATAAAACGTTCAAAAATGTCAATATGTGGGAGTAAGAGAAGAGCAGACATATAGATAAATCTGACGACGCAAGAGAGAACTCATTTCGGTCCGGTTTTCAAAGCGCAGACACTGAAGCATACACACACAGAGAGAGCGTGTCTCACAGCGCGCGAGTACTCTTTCGCGTCGCATAAACAGAGAATTACACACAAAATTATGTCGAATTGTCCGTTTTGACGAGTATTCACGTAAACACAGTTGATTACGTCTTAAGTGAACGTAAACAGTAGGGAGAACGTGTATCAGTACATTGCATCCATAGCAGCTGTGCATTCGGTTTTAAAGGGACAGCAGCCAATTTTTTAAGCCTAGCCTTTAGTTGCAATTGTCCGAGTCATTGATGTTAATCAAGCAACAAAAGAAACACAGAAAATCA